CTGTGCATAGTCACACACACAAACACAATATGAACAGTTAGAATGGTTACATATAGATATGCAAGCCCATTCGACTGTATCTATTCTAAGGTGCATTGGGTTGGGCCAAGAGGACACCTGAACCCCAGAGGCTTCCCTGGGGCTACGTACCCCCAGACATGCCAACCTGGAGGCTTGAATTCCCTGGACAATGAGGCTGAATTCCCTTGATTTGGTCCGTTTCCCTCGACACCAATTTTTTTAGCGCATCCATCATTAGCAGATGTATTTTTCATGACTGCTGCACAATCAAAAGGGATGTCATTGCATTGAGCTGTAACTGCACAAGTAAACTTTCTGTTGACTACCGTTATACCGACGATCAGTTGCAGTTCCACATGGGGTTTGTTGTCTACTACGTGCTGTGTGCACTTACAATGGATCTACAAGTTCGAGGAAACACTGAAAAAGCGTCATAAAGAAGGAGAACTTCGATTTCAAAAGTTCCATCTCAGTCCCTGGACTTTCCTGGACCCCGGGACAAACACCCTATTCCCTGGACTGTCCCGGGAAACCCTGGACGGTTGGCATGTATGAGGGCTAGGGAGGCATCTGGGGTTCAGGTGTCCTGTTGGTCTACCATATATAGGTATGTGCATGCGTTTGCTACCATATACATGTATGTCAGGCGCCTGCATCTCTGCAAGACAAAATGGACTCTGGAGCCTCACTGGCATTTGGCCGACCTCGTGGTCGTGTAGTATCCATCACTCACCTCTTTTTAGCTGGCAAAGACGCCGGGTTGTATTATTGTTATTATTATTATTTTAACTGGTTTGAGGGAAAGAGACAAACGGGAAAAGTCTGAAGAAAAAATTGACTGTCACCACCAGGACTCGAACCAGGGACCTTCGCTTGAAGCCAGCGATGCTCTAACCACTGAGCTATGGTGTAGTCGTCATCCCAGCAGAGGCCGTTCAACATTTTCTTCAGACTTCGTAACTCACACTTCCTGTGAATCCACACAGGTGGGTGGGACGCAGCCCTCACTGTAACCCACACACTTCACGTACAAACTAGCACGCGGGGAGCCCCAAGTCATAAAATATTAACTGGTTTGAGGGAAAGAGACAAACGGGAAAAGTCTGAAGAAAAAATTGACTGTCACCACCAGGACTCGAACCAGGGACCTTCGCTTGAAGCCAGCGATGCTCTAACCACTGAGCTATGGTGTAGTCGTCATCCCAGCAGAGGCCGTTCAACATTTTCTTCAGACTTCGTGACTCACACTTCCTGTGAATCCACACAGGCGGGTGGGACGCAGCCCTCACTGTAACCCACACACTTCACGTACAAACTAGCACGCGGGGAGCCCCAAGTCATAAAATATTAACTGGTTTGAGGGAAAGAGACAAACGGGAAAAGTCTGAAGAAAAAATTGACTGTCACCACCAGGACTCGAACCAGGGACCTTCGCTTGAAGCCAGCGATGCTCTAACCACTGAGCTATGGTGTAGTCGTCATCCCAGCAGAGGCCGTTCAACATTTTCTTCAGACTTCGTAACTCACACTTCCTGTGAATCCACACAGGCAGGTGGGACGCAGCCCTCACTGTAACCCACACACTTCACGTACAAACTAGCACGCGGGGAGCCCCAAGTCATAAAATATTAACTGGTTTGAGGGAAAGAGACAAACGGGAAAAGTCTGAAGAAAAAATTGACTGTCACCACCAGGACTCGAACCAGGGACCTTCGCTTGAAGCCAGCGATGCTCTAACCACTGAGCTATGGTGTAGTCGTCATCCCAGCAGAGGCCGTTCAACATTTTCTTCAGACTTCGTAACTCACACTTCCTGTGAATCCACACAGGCGGGTGGGACGCAGCCCTCACTGTAACCCACACACTTCACGTACAAACTAGCACGCGGGGAGCCCCAAGTCATAAAATATTAACTGGTTTGAGGGAAAGAGACAAACGGGAAAAGTCTGAAGAAAAAATATTATTATTATTATTATATGATTTTTTGCGCACTCGCGAAAATATGTTAACACAGAAGGCGCATGCTCTGTTCCCAACAAACTCTCACGCGCTCATTGTTCTCCGAAGTCCACTGTTCCTGATTTCAGTTCTTGCTGTGTCCGCATTGGCAGTGGATTTCTTTCTCAACCTCAATCTCAAGGTTTACCATAGCTCACGGAGATGCCCCGTGCACGTAAGCAGTCGGCTCCCGCGCCCGGACCCAGGCGTTCCAGTCGCAGGCGCGCCTCGTCGTCCCCGTATGCCGACACTCCAAATTGAGCCCCTGCGTACCATGCGGCCGATCAATCCGGCAATGCCCGTGCGGATCGTTCCGGCAATGCCCGTGCGGAGCAGGACGATATCCCGTCCGCCGTTCCCCAGCCGCCCAGCTTATTCACAACTGGCCTAAATTCACGTTCCGTTACGGCGGCCGTGTCGACGACCCTGCACCCCCTGCTGGCTCGAGTCGAGCGCCTTGAGGAACGAATTTCAGCTCGCCAGGATCCGGACGGCCATGATCGGGCGGCGGTCCCCTCAGTGGCAGATGTGGTCCAAACCGCGTCCAACACCGTCACCCATCACCCGCCGCAGGTCGACTCCGACCCCATGGACATTTCCCTCATGCAACCCGCGCTGCCTCCAATCGCAGCGCCCATGGCGAACACTCGTGAGTCCAGCTCTGTTGTTCCCACGGTCCCGCGTAAGTTGCTTGAAAAGATCACACGCGGCGAATATATTGAGCTGGAGGATCTCCTCCCGGAGAATGTGGGCGCAGGGTCCGAGCCCTTGGAGCTCAGTACCGCCAACGGGAAGGGCCGGCGTGTGTCCCTCAATTTATGTGTGACTAAGAAGCGCTCCATTGTCGACTTCACTGCTTCACTCAAAGAGTCAAAGTTGACACTAGCCAATGCTGTGAGCAAAGCTGTGGCACTCGAGTCCTCTATCACGGACAGCAAGCTTTATGGTGACGCTGCAGCTACTCCATTGTCGAATTCATTCTCTCAAATTCACCGTGTTTCACACTCCCAGCCTGCCTCTGCGCACAAGAAGTTTGGGAAGTGCAAGTACTGTGGCCGCTCGCATCCAAGAGGCAAGCAGCATTGCCCTGCAGCGGATTCTACTTGTGGCAACTGCTCGAAAGTCGGCCACTTTACAACAGTATGCCTGTCGCGCAAGTCTGATAATGCGCGCATGACATCCGAACAGGTGGAGGAGGATGACGCCAACTATTTCTGTGATTACGCATTCTCAGTAGATACTTCTCAGCACCAGCAATTGTTTCGTAAGACGCTGATCGTCAACGGCCGTCCCTGTGAAGGACTACTGGATACAGGTGCTACCCGATCAGTGCTAACCGATGATGTTGTCCAGCCAACGCGAAAGAGTGATCGAATCTTGAAAGCGTACAATGGTGGCGTTATCTCGACACTCGGTATGGCTGGTGTGACGGTCTCTGTTGGATCACGCAGCATCATATGTAGTTGTTTTGTTGTCCCAGTCGCGTCTGGCCGCCAAATCCTGTATGGCCAGGACATCATCTCCGAACTGGAGTTGCTGACCTCTGCTGAAGTCAATGTGGTGAACGTGACGCCCATCTCTATCACAGTGGACCCTGACACCACTCCAACAGCACTCCCACCCCGTCGGCACGCTTTCAGCATCCGGGATGAAATTGCCAAGGAGTTGGATCGTCTGGTGAAGCATGACATAATCGAGCCAGTGCGAGAAGCTACTCCGTGGGTCTCACCGTTGGTGCCGGTCAGGAAATCGAGCGGTGCTTTGCGTCTCTGCGTGGACTACCGCGTGCTAAACAAGGGCGTAGTCCGGGAGCGTCACCTACTTCCCACCGTTGACGAAATCAATGCGCAGCTGGACGGTGCAACAGTGTTCTCCGTCCTGGATGCTGAATCTGGCTTTCACCAGCTCCCTTTGGCCGATGAATCTCGTCCGTCCACCACTTTCGCCACTCACAAGCTGTGCACGCATGGTCATGTATACTGGTTTGTATGCATTCATGTCAGGCGATAGAGCGGCCCTCATTTGCATGCTCGACGGGTCCGGGTCTCTGGTTTCACATGTGCCTTTTATGCCGCCCTGCTCGGCCTGCTGTGCCTTTTATGCCGCCCTGCTCGGCCTACTGTGCCTTTATGTTGCCCTGCTGTTATAAGACGCAGGTGCCTTTCCCTTTCGGCTAGTCTTCAGTAGTCTTCTTCTGTAGTAGTTAGTTAGTTGGAAACACAATAACAAGGAAGTTTGCAATGCGAGTTGAGCCTGAAGTGAGCCTGAAGAATACAGTCTAGAAATAGTAGAATCCAGTAAAGCGAGCCAGACAGAGAGCTGGCCATAAACGCCTCTTCAGATTCAAGAGACTCCCGTTTGGCATTGCTTGCGCACAGGAGATATTTCAACGCGTGGTGTCTGACATCCTTGCCGGCCTGCCTGGAGTCGTTGTGTATATTGATGACATTCTCATCTATGCCCGCAACCGACAGGAACACGACGAGCGCATGGCTGCCGTACTCCGTCGTTTGAGCGAAGCCAACCTGCGCTTAAAGGGGAAGTATACCCTAAAATCAAATTTTCACCAGTTGTAGTCTTCGGGGTGCTGAGTCGAATGGTCTTGGTCCGAGGAAGCTGAGATGCTCCCTTCCTACTTGAATCCCAATCGAACTCGTGCACTTCCACCGAAACTGGGTGGCTGCGCCCTACTAGATGGGGATTTGTATGCAAAATGTCACTAAAAGCGCCATTTCGTTCTTATAAAAGCACGGATGACCGCGATTGGCCCATATGTTGTAGTCTTTTGGACGCTGAGTCGACTGGTTTTGGTCCGAAAAGGCTGCGATGCAGCGTTCCTCCTTTATTCCCAATCGAACATGGTTGAACAAGCGGTCACGTGCTCCTGCGTACACCAGTCACCTGGTCACCGTGCCTGCAGGGTACAACTTACTAGCCTGTTTGACCTTTTTTGGGTGCAGTCCTGTCACTCGAGTTGAACT